ATCAAAGACAGTAGTAGTCAAGAGTTTAATGGTCTACCTCAGGAGTACTATTTACATGAACATGAAATTGCATGTTCTGTTAGAGAAGTAAGTATAAGGTGGTTAGTTAAAGGTATGACAAATATATTAGGTTATATAAGTAAATCTTTATTTACAGGCTAATGATGGTATTAGTTATTCAAATGAAAACTTTGAAGTGGTGTGGAAAGCTAGACAATTGGAAGCTAGAAATTCTAAAAGTAAAATCTTAGAAAAAGAAGCATCCTCTATTAAATCCGTTTATGACAATAATAATTTGGCTAAAGAAATTGGTAATGAAATCTCTGAATTAAGCAATGGTACTAATGAAAGGAAATGTATTGAGGATGAAGAAAGTATTTTAAAACAGTGTAGGCTTAATAAAAATGCAGTAATTAGAGGGCTCTTGAGAAATCATACAATATCATTAAAAGATTTATGCATGCCAAACGATTATATAGATTTACAACATAAAAACAGTACCAGTGTACAGGTATCTAAAAAACGTTATTTTTAGTTACGTTAATTTCAAATTAATTTATAACTAATGTAAACTATATTTTGCATACAATAGCAAAAAAATTTTATGAAGTTAGTTCAATGCCCAGAAGATCCAGAAGTTTTTGTTCAACCTTTACAAGCACATGGCACTATAGATGAAAATGAATATAAAGATATTGACTTTTCTGTACCTCATGTAGGTAAAAAAAGGAAAGTCACATCACGACAGTTTTTCATTAATATGGATGATTCCGATTTTGATTTTGTAAAAACAGATGCAAAGATAAAGAATTAGTTCGAATATAAAAGATTAATATTTCTTACAATTAGTCGTTATGAGTTTTGTTACTTTTCAATTTGACGCTCAAAGTATTAAAGAATATGTTATTAAACGGGAAAATATTTTTTTTTACTGTTTTTGCAATTTTAATAACACAAATCTATTAAAATAATTGATTTCTAATAAATAAAGAAAGAAGTAGTATATAAATAAATTAAATTTCAAAATCGAAAAGAGGAATGTCGTGTGCCACCGGTTTGTAATCTCAGTCAGGCATGCAGACACACAGACGTTCCGGCTCCGCGTTCAACAGAGGATTCGCGGTGATTAGTCGTTTATCGCACAACACATATCAATTTTTGATGTGTTTGACCGAAACTTCGTCCACAGATTGTCGATGCCTGGCACACAGGGCAATCCATTCTGAACCGCATATGCTGCGTCCGTGGCAGTGAACGTATTAATGTAAAATTAAAAGAGAAATTGTAAAAAAGTAATATTAAAAAAAGTGATATTTTT